TATATATATATATATATATATATATATATATATATATATATATATATACACGCATATTGTACGCACACCTATGATATTCATTAAAATATAGTAAGGCAGAAAATTAACAAAGTTCTCCATTTTAATTTTTTTCCAATAAAAATTATCGGACTATTTCTGTACAAAGATATACATTTGTAAAACGGACTATACAAAACTGCTAGAAGGAGCACATATCATTTTTTTTTTTTTTTTTTTCTTCAGAGCATTAGGATACCATGATTGTTGTATACGAAAAGTTTCGAATGAATATCGTATTTCTCATCTCACGATTTGAATTGCAATTCACGCTTAAAGATGTGGAATTTTTATTTTGGACAAAATCGATCGAGAGTGAAAATAGAAATTCTAATGTTTTTTAATAATACTTTTCTAACATTAAACGTTAACTTTTTTTTTTTTTTTTCAGTATTAATATCGTACAACGTTTAATATTATGTACAAGGGTAACATAGAAAAGTTTATCAACGACGCTGTTCTTACGTTGGATCTTGATGTTGACAAATTTTTTTTGATTCCTGATTACCATTTTTCTTTATCACGTTGAATATTAAACGATATCTCCGAACAATTAGTTAGACTCGTAAAAATTACGCCATGTTACGTTCGAATTACATAATACAGGTTGTGTAATTTTGTGCAGGATTCGCTGTTACGGAAGGACGGCAGAAGCAAATCCCACCGAATATCGAATCAGCGTAAAATCATTTCCACCTTTTTCTTTTTTTTTTCTTTGATTACTATTCTCTTTGTCTTAATTTTGATTTGAACTTTGATTAATCCTTTAGTTTGAGCAATCGACGAACCAGTTATTCGGTATTATTTGGTGTCTTTTGAAATTTAGTGGTAAGCAGAAAATATTCAAATAAATAATATACGTGTTGACACATTATCATTATAGAGAAAAGGAAATTTAATATTTGCCATTCTTTACTTTGATCATAATGCTTCTCGTATAAATTTCTTCTATTTATTCGATAAATTGTGTAAATTTAATTCTAGAAAAGGTCCGAGAATCATGTTTATACAAACTCGTTTATCATTAATTTGAGAATATTTTGCAATATAATTGACTTTATAATACTCATTCACGATATTATCGTTAAATTTCACATCGATAAATTAAACAACAATGATGATGAACATTTTTCGAAAAAAACTTTCGAAATTCGAATTCGTCTAATTATCGTTGCCGATTATTATCTCAGTTTTTAGAATTTACGATTGCGTCATGGTGAATATCGAAAATACACAAATGAAACTATTAACGAAGATACAAAGATGGAGAAGATTCGATCTTTCCCTTTTTTTTTTTATCTCTTTTTTTTTCTCGAATAACGGGCATATTAATCAAAAATCCGTTGAACGGATCAAGTTTTTTTTTTCTTTCCGACTCTTTTTCGCGAAATTGTCGTGCTAAAGTTTCATAGTGGTCGACGAAGTGCTTTGAATTCAGTCATATTTCCCTGAGGAACGAGGAAAGAAACCAGAACGCAAGGGCGTGAAATCACGCGAAAAGGAAATCTTTATGAAATAGAAAAATGAGGAGGAAGATTTCTCTAATGGGAATTCACATTCAAGCTCTTTGTACAGAATAAACGGTTTCTCTTTGCGGCCATTAACTCGTCAAACATTTTGTATTCAGAATCGAATTTTTACCGAACAAAGAAACGAATCGAAACGATAAAAGAATACAAAAAAATCTTATATACTTTTTGCAAAATTGTAAACTTCTTATCCTTACATTCTGGCATCAAATTTTGTATGATTTATTTATTATTATAAATGGGCACATTGGTCTGGTAAATTCTTCCTTGGAACTTGGTATCTTCGATTTTTTTTTTCACTTCGAACAACACGCGAATCTTACTTTCTCTTCTATCGAACCAACTGCAATTATCGACCGATTTTACCGTCGAAGAAATTTCTATTTCATCGAAATTTCGTTTCTTAATCTCGAATAAAAAAAAGTCGATCATCGGTTCGACGATATATCCAAAGTGAATCGAAGGAAAGTTACAAGTGGTTTTCCGCAACAAATAGTCCAAGCGTCAGCTTGGAGGAACGCGTGTGCCTTTTCAAAATGAATGGAACGAGTGCGAGGAAGTTTGCTCGGTCGGCAAGGTTGGATCGATGGCTGGTACAAACGTTAAAGTAAACTTTGTTTTGGCTACCGGCCACCATCCCCTATCGAATCACCGATAGAGCGATAACGATAATTCTAGTAACTGCTCAAGCTGATATCGATTGTCATTAGACACCTAACGAAATTCGCACAACCGGAACTCGCATACGATTTAACACTCGTGCTTCCAAGATACATCGTATCGTTCGTCGATCGTTTCATTTCTCTCATTTTTTTTTTTTTTTTTTCTAGCGTTTTCACAAGGACTTTATAACGTACTTACATCTTATGATATGTTACAGAAGAAACAGAAAAACACTTGTTTAGGTCGCTACTTGCACGCGGTTCTTTTGTCGTTTGCACAGAGCAGAAACGTGCCGTTTTGCTCGATAGACGATAGACTTAATCTTGCGCAAGCCAGATTTTCTTCCCTTTTATAACGTTTCCTTATAATATACAAGTTTTGTTAAATTGTATATCTACGTACGTGGATATTTGATTGATTTAAACAAAGTGTAGAAAATGCATGAAAGAACGAGTATATACGATACATGAATATTTTATTCATCGAGAGAGAGAGAGAGAGAGAGATTTAACTTATTTTTCGATATTAATTAAACGCAATTTTTAGAGAAGTGTTTTAGAAAAAAAATCTGCTCCGTGTACCCGACAAAAAGAGTGATATTTTTACAGCTAATTTACAGCTATACATTACGCACTCCGTAATCCCATATTCTCTATCACGAATATCGATATTGAACAATGTGAATAGTTTTATATGCAACATCTCTTAAAGATTAGTGTCTAGTCGTAACAGTATTTTAGTTATTGTTCTTGAGCACAGAATTGAAATATGATTTTTTTCGTTCACGATTTCTGCGTCTAGTCCAATGGGTATTGCATTATTGCATTATCGAGAATAATAATTGGCAATTAATTCTGAAAAATTATCAGAAATTTTATAAAACAGTTACAAAATATTGAAACAGTAATAAAGAATGATAAGACAGGATATAAGAACAGATACAGTATAAAGTTGTACCAAAAAAATCCTTTTAGGTTAGAAAAATTCATTCGTTACAAAATGTATATTAAAATACTTGTATATATATTATCAATATATTATCAAAGCTTGTAGCAATTTTTTTTTTCTTCCAACGTTACGTTAATTTTTCTGGGCAATATTTTTATATTTTTGGCAGTGTTATTACGCGTTTCGAAACGCGTTGATTTACAATATGTGCGAAGGAACGTTTTGAATCACGCACGCTCCATTTTATACGACTAGACGCAACAATCCACTCGATTACATTATGGACAAGAACGTGTTCCTTTTTTTCGAGCGTTTATCATATATGCAGAAATATAAAAACTGTCACGAATTTCTATCTAAATAGGCATAGAAATATCGAGTCGATCTCGTTAGAACGCCATTTCCAAATCGTATGAAACATTTTTTCATTAGAAATTAAAATACATACGATTATTCGATGTATGTATCTGGAAAATAATTATCTCTCAAGCTTATATTCATTGAAATTCGACGAAAATTTCACGAATGTTGGTCAAAAGTAGATCAGGATTAACGTAGAAATTAACATCAATAACAAGCAAGTTTAGAAACTTCCTTTACAACATTTAGGGGACACTTGGTACATCCTGAGGAAAATCTTGTTTAGAACTTGTGTAATGTAATTGCCGGGGCTTTATTAACGCGATATCACCAAGTTGGGCCGTGTTTATTTACGTCATAATCATTATTTCGATTAAAATCGAGTAAAATTTAATAAACGGTCCATATTTATATGCGATCCAATATTGATTTTGCGTGTATTTAATCGTAGAAAATAAATGACAAGTGAGTAACGGAAAAATATATAATTTCAACATTTGTTATAAAAATGTTTATTCGTTTTGTTAATATATTGGAAACGGCGTTCCAACGGAACATAGCGGCTTACTTTCTTTGAAATTGATGCACACATCCCTCGTACACGACCACGAAGGCGTCTCGTTTTATGCCGTACGCATAAATACTTGTTTGTATCGGTTTGTATCTCTCTACGCGAGGACAGTCCATCGATCGTTAACCATCTTGTTCTTCGAACGAACGTATTTAGAAACCCGTTTTTAGAACAATTCTTCTCGTGGCGCGCAGAAAAGGAAAAAAAAATTCGTCGATTTTTCTTGAAAATCAATTAATTAACCGCGAATAAAAATATTTTTTCGTCCAATTTCCTCCACGATTCGTCGAAGCGCGCGCTATCTCACTGCGATTAATTTTCTATTTATATATATATAAACGACGTATCAAGGGTAGTTATCGATTCGAAACACGTTGGCGTTGGTTGGAAACGCGAAACGTTGCCGTTTGGAACAAGGAAACCCGTTTGGACGGGTCTCGTCGAACTCGTTATCGAGAAAGGACGATCCACTCGTCTGGAGGAGACGAGGGAGAAGCGTGTTTCACATTTCGGTGTTCTCCTCGGCCTCCTCGTCGACCTTTGGCAACATGTAGACACCAGGAATCGGCGGAACGTGATCCTCGAGTTTCAAAATCGGTTTGCAGTCTCTGGTGACGTCCACCTGATTGAAAGTGTCCTTCAGTATATTGATCTCGTTCTCGTGGGCGAAGAGGCTGGTCGGCGGTTCCGTTCCCCGGATATCGTTGTCGTCGGTGCCGTGGCACAAGTTGCCAGACGGAAATTGTCACGAGGTCAGGGTGAGGGGATCGGTGGAGAGCTCGTCCACGCTCGGGCTGGCCTTAACCGGCTCCTGCTTCTCCGTCTGATGGCTTAGCCTGTGCACGATCTCGTCGTGGAGTATGTTGAAGCACATCGCCGTGAGCGCCATCCCGGACATTATGTAGAACGAGCAGAACCAAACGGTCGCGTTCCTCGACTCGTAGAGGGTGTGGCGTGGATAGGAACCGGGCACCATATCACCGAACCCGATCGTGCTCAGGCTCATGAAGCAGAAGTAGCTCGCATCTAAACACCAAAACTTTAACTTAATTCACCCGATTCCGTCCAATCTGTATTTTGCAATCTCTCTCGTTACAACGTCGCGTTAGAGTGGAAAGGAGAGGTTGGAAATCCGTTTCTCACGTACCCACAAAGGACCAGCCGTCCAACTTGTGCAGAGTGAATGCGCCCGCGACGATGTAGCAGAGCATGGCGCCCAGGCAAATGCTGATCGGCGCGAGTATAGTGACGTTGGGCCTGTCGCCGGAGCCGAGGCTCGACACCTCGTCCTTCGGGCTGCTCTTCATCTCCACCGTGCTCGTGAAACTCGACGCGTTCGCGCGCACGTAGAACGGCTCCTGCAACTGGAGTTGCTGCTGCGCCAGCTCCTCCTGCTGCCTTTTCTTTCTCATGCGCCTCTCTTTTTCCTGCACTCGCATTTTTTCGACAAAAGCAGAGAAGAAAAGGAAACCGTTCGTTGATCGTTATCAGAGAAGATACGCCAGTATCTTTCGGTTGAAAATGCCGCTTACCTCCATCCGTCTTTCATCGTAGCAACAATAGCCGCAATTGGAACAAAGGCAGCAGCAAAGAGCGCGCGTGAACACACCCCTCGCGCACCTGGACAAAAGGCCTCCGGCGCTCGACAAGTAGACCAAGGTTAAGGGGATGCCGAGACTGGCGTAGCCCGTAGTCGCGATTTTGCCCCATGTGGATTTTGGCGCGATGCTGCCGCAACCTGGAAAACATTTTTCACTTCGAATATTCTCCGGAGGGACTCGAAAAATTGGAGGAAAAAAGTATTAGGTTGCCGGATGCGATTAAAATGAAGAATTAATTAGGATATATTTTAATGGATAAATATTACGTTGTAGTGATGTCGATTCAGAAAGGGAAAAGGAGTCGCGTTTATAACCCCCTTTGCACTCGACAAGTTTTTCAATGGGGCATGATTTTATATCGGTTTATAACAAAGAGATAAAGGAATCTAAGGAATCTATTCACAAATCGATCTTGTTATTTCGAGATAACGAAATCTAATCTAATGAATCGTTCGATCAAATTGGGTAAAATATAAAGATGTAACTAAATATATATATATATATAAGAAAAATTAACATTGCGTTTAATTAATATAAAAGGATAAAAAAAGAAAAGAACAGAAAAATTGCCAGCTAAAGTTAGGGCATTATTATAAAATTAATCCCCTAAAAAATAATATCGATGGCTAGATTAAAGAACTCGATTGTATCCCTACGTGTCATGTGCAGCCGTAAACAAAATTAACGAGCTTATCTAAATCATTGACAAATTTTAAGCTCAATTTATAAAAAAAAAAACTTATCGATAATTTATAATAATTATTATAAATTAAAATAGATGTCGTATCCGATGTAAAAATTGAAATTTAAACGCTTCTTGATAAATTTACAGAATATTGAAATATGACCGATATTCGTTTAATTTGTAAACGTTTAAAAAGAGGATTTAAAGTTTTAACGTATGACATACATTACATGGAAACAATTATTTCTTTAAAATTTAAAAATGAATTTTCTCCCGCTTGATGTACAATCGTTTCGAAGTGTGCACCGTGGCGCCTCTCGAGTGCAAAGGGATAAGTATACAAGACAAATAAACTCAACACGTTGGATCTCGATCGATCATCTAGGAATCTGTAGTGAAAAGTAATAATATTTCATCACGCTCGTCTTATCGGTTCCTTTTGTCTATTTCGCAACGGAAGGGATATCCCCGCGCAAAGTTGGATAATCGAATTTTACCTGCTTTTTACTTTTCCAACCTTTCTCCTTTCGCAAAATGCCGTACATGCCTTTAATTTAATTTATGGCCGGACGACGACCACCGGCATACTCCCAAATTGGGAAACTTACTCTCTCTCCCGGGGCTCGGAGGTGTCCTGTTTCAACGGCCAGCTGACATAACTCGCTAATACGATCATCCAACTAACGACAATTCTATAGGAAAGGGTTCTATAAAGAAAAAAGGGACAAAGAAAAATACACGTAAATTGCAAAATGAACGGATATATCATTCTCCAACTGTTTTCAGTCAACTCGTTCTTTCTTACCGACAATTAATCGCAACGTCGAGGACATTGCGTTGGAATTCGAAGGAATGACGCGCGGTTAATAACTCGCGTAAGCCGATCGATGAGAAAAATATAGCGAAAATAATGAAGTGGAGGAGGAGGAGGAGATTTTCCGGTCGCGAAAAAGCGGAGGCGCGAATCGATGGGGCGCGGATGCCGCTTAAAATAATGGATCGCCTATCGGAAATTGGTGCGCGGGCGACGATAGCGTTCGAGTGCGTTGGGGATCGCAGCGAACGAAGCGGAAGGCTCGCGAAACTACTCGCGAAAGCCCTATTCGTCACTGTCGTTTCGCCTTATCATTTACGACGCGCTCCCTTTTTTCGTATCCGTTTCACCATTTGTTAAGGCAGGATCGAAATTCCATTGGCTCGTGGCTGTAAATTATTAGATCTTAACGAATCTATCGAGACCACGTTTTCGTTTTGGAATCATTTTTGTAAATAAATATAAACAAACTGGAAGGGAATGGATTTAATATGAAAGTTTATATCCGATCGAGGGCGAGCTGTTTCATCGATGGTCCTCCCCTCCTTTTTGTTTCGAAGTTTCTTCTCGGGGCGGAGCTTTACGCGCTCGCTATTCAAATGGCGAAAGAGAGAAGAACGATCTTTTATTAAATTGTTCGATATTGCATCTGTGCAAGAAGAACGGGGCACAGAGGGATCGTTCGGCAAAGATATTGAAAACAATCTGTGACATTCGACAAGCGTGAAAGGAATGGAAATTTTGGAGGGGAAAAAAATGCGATTTTTTTTTCATTATTTCGGTCGAGAATTATTTTTAAAAAAAAATAACTCCTCGAAATTATGGTCGTCCTCTTTGCGCCCGATTATCGTTAGATTAAAAGGATTCGCGAGTTAATCAGAGGCGTTGAAGAAACTTAACGTTTGCCGTGGGACGCATATTCATATCCGATTTTCTTAATGCAAGCTGAATGCATATGAGACGCCATGCATATTTATGCAGATTTTCTCGATTAAAGTCGCGCAACGGACTTCGTAAATGTGTTAGCGCAAAAAGCTGGGACAGAAGTCTTGAAAGTTATTGATTCACCAGCGGATGTACGTCGTGAACGGATATTCTTTTTTTTTTTTTTAAGTAGAAACGACTTGGCTGTCTATCGCAATATTTTTCTCGAAAGCTATTACTTTTTATCTGTACACGCAATGATATAATTTAAAAAAAAAAAAAGAAAAAAGAAAAATTCATCTCTTTCAACGAGATACATTTTTCCTTTTGTGAGAACAGATCCTTTCGTTTTAAAAATAACACGAAATGATATTAAAAAAAAAAAAAAATTCGATACTTATTTACTGGATTCTGGTTAACTTAAATCAAATACACGAGATAACGCGAGTCTTGGGAATTTGCTTCAACGTTTCGAAGATTCGAGACGTCGAGAGGAGCTCATTGGGAACACGTCCAAGTTTGACAAGGTCTTAGACCAAGAAACTTGTCCACAATGACATCGTTATGCCTGACAATGAGTTGGACTCTCACCCGTTTCGAGATAATGAACACTTCCCAACTAATAAGTACTAAAACTGGTGAATAAGATTTATCGCAATATCGATCGAGATGGAAGAAGATCGTCGAAATAAATTTCGGTTAAATTCGGGACGCGAACACAAAACCGAGACTTTCGAGTTTTTATTTTTTTATATCGCACAAGTGGAAAAGTATTAAAGAAGAGAGAGGGTAGCGCGATTGGATTCGAACGTGTTGCAGGATTTCGCGAAGCATAAGAAAGTTTAAGATACTTTACTTACCTCGAACCTCTACTTTTACGTTTTAAGTATAAATACCCTGATTATTGGAAAAGTGCCAGCTTCTGAAACTTTCTGCAACTTTGGTTTAATCTTCGAGTATTGAAAATGAATCGCACCACCCGAATCGAACGTAAGAAGAAAGTAAGAACTAAAAATTGGAAAAATTCTTCTCTTCGCGTATAACGACCGAGAAAATCGAGCAATTTTAACTAATTTATCACCGCCCTACCTTTTATCGTACGAATCCGTACGATATCTGTGATACCAACTTTTAGATTTTCTTTCTTTTTCTCTTTGCTCTAGAACCCATTCGAATTCAGATACAAGAAAGAAAAATATTATAATTTACGCGAGATGAAAGAGCGGTGAATTAATAAACAAATTTTAATGCGATTTAAATTGCAATCGTCAACAGGTCCAGTGATGTAACAATGACGAGAAATCGATTATTCATGCCCCAAGTTGCACGCAACGTATATATAATCAAACTTCGAGAAATCGTTATTAGAAGACAAGAATCGACAACTTTGCAACAACTAGTGACTCACGCGGTAAATAATCGTGCAAGTTTCATCACTTTTCGAAGATGTTTCAAAATTTTTCGATCCTTGCTTCGAGGCAACTCGAAAGCATCCTCTTGAATCACGATCGAATCACGGTAACAGTAAGCGGTTTGAATATTTCATAAAAAGAGATTTTTGAATTGGCGTAAAAATCCACAGAGAGGAAATCGTGTGGTCAAAAAGCTAAATCTATTTAATCGTTTCTTCGAACGAGGATAATTCTTTTATACGGTCGTGAAAATATTTTTCTCGACGAGCAAACAACTTTTCAAAGAAGGCATATTACACCCTGGAACGTATGAAAGAGAGGGCGGATAAACGTGAACGATGTAACGAGATGACGGTATCAACGGTAAAAAAAAAAAAAACGTAACAGACACGGGACACGCGAAGCGGAACGGAACGAGAAACGGAAGAGAAACTCTGGGGATTATTTATTTTACACGGTGACCGCAATCCACGGCTGCATTTTCCGGGAGACGACCGACCAAACTGTCTGGAAAACGAGCAGAAATTACATCGGTCAAAATAATGGATCTTGCTCTACCATTGTTCTACACCCAATTTACATGATGCGACCGATCCTCTCGATACTGTCTACGTCGATTCCATCATATTTCAAAATTAATTCGATGCCGTGCAATTTCGGAAAATATCCCAATTCATCGAGGCGAAATAATACAACAGACCGGTACAGTTATGGGGAGAGTATTATTATATTTTACAATTCCGCGGAAAAAGAAATGTATTTTGGTTGGGGAACGTAAAATTACAGAAAGAAAGAAAAGTTACACAAAGGGAACAATTCGAAGCTTTTTCTCACAATTATTTTTTTCCTTATTTATTTTTAACCACGCAAGAAACGCGATAATTGAGTTAAAATGAGAAACAACTAGTCTAAAGTAAGTACGAATAAGTAGGTACGTTCGATCGATACGTATGTTTTCAACGTTACCAACAAATTCGTTCGTATCATAAAAATGAGTGTTTTTCGAACGAAGTACATTTTATTACGAATTTATATTTATCCGATGACGTACATCAGGATACGATTCGTATTTTTATATTTTCATATTTACATATTTTTCGATTCGCGTTATTAAAAGAGAAATTAATATGTCCGTATTACGTTTCCAATTCATTTCCCTTTCCGTAACGAGTTTTATATTGGCTAAGAATAAATTAGAATCGAAGCAAACGTGAAAATTGCATTACTTACTGGAAAGAGGAAATGTCGTTCATAGAACAGATAGGAGGAGTCATTCCCCGTTTTACGCACGAGAGATTACACCAGGGAGGAAAAGTTTGCCACGTAGAATAATGCTTTAATTGATGAAATCTAGTTCCAAACGATACCAACTGTTACGGGCTTTTAAACCAGCTGAATAGCTCTGCGGGGAGGAAGCGCAGAAAATTGAATCGAACGACATTTTCGTTATCAACAACTTTTCTTTACTTTTTTTCTTTTTATTTCTTTCCACAAACGATTCATTTTATCCTTATATTCAAATGAATAAAAAAAAAAAACAAGAGAAAGAAGAGAAAAGCGAAATAGAAATAGATCCGAAAGTGAAATTCTCGAGAGCGTAGATGTCGTAAAACTCGAATATCGACGATTGTTCTTACACGGCATCTCGTGGCTCATCGACGAAACACAACAACTACACACTACCAGATCGAAAAACTCGTTTCCTCCGAGAGACAGACATTCGGGATATCGGTGTGTCGGTTCTCACGACCGAAATTTAGCACGCTCGTGCGGCTTACGAGCCGGCTTCAGCTGTTTAATTTACCGCTCGAAATAATTTGAATAGGATAGGAGGGTTTCGTCGTGCAATAACATCTCGAAGATGAGCCGTGGTGCCGTGTGTCGTAGGTGAATGCGCAACCGACTAGCAGCGACTCCTGGGAGAGAGGGGCCGCGGCGAACAAGGCTGCACACCTTTGCCCCCTCCCCCTCTGCCTTCTCCACTCCACTCCCCTCCCCGGCTTGTCGACGTCGCTCCTTGCTACAGGACGTATCCCCCGAGGTCGTAATGGTAAGTCTCTCCACGCGAGGACCCGAAATTAATAACGCGGCCTGGCGCAAATACGGCGCACATAATTAAAGCGATATTACGATCCGGGACACCGGATGGCGCTGTATCGTCTAACAACCGGCTCACTCTCCGCGTCCCTGTTATTTACCACTCCTCACCGGTGCTACGCCATTCAAGATGTGTACATTTTGATTACCCATCTACGCAAACTGTTTGCGAACAGTCAGCTGATTTGTGTCAATATTCCTAGTCGTGATCAAGGTGGGAATGGGAGAACACAGATGACAAACTGTGCGAATTAGCCCTGAATTCTAGTTTCGAGGCTTTTGACCGAAGTATTTCAAGTATTTTATGAACAAAATTTAAGGCTTTTCAAAGGATTTGCAAGATGAAATCGTGATAAAATTTTTAATCACGATCTTTTTTCGATTATTTCGATTATTTCGAACGATGGTCGTCGATTTGATAAAACGAATATTTTTATTCAAGAGAATTTCTTAAAAGATTAGAACGAAGAATAATATTTTTTCGTGGTGAGATAATAATCGATATCTGAAACATTTTGTTTTAAATATTACGCAATTGTGGCTACTGATTAGTATCTTTTAGCAGGTTAATAAGTACTAACTATTCATAAGAGGAATATCAAGTGGATTAAAACTTTCTCCTTTGAGGATCGAGCTCATTCTCGACAGACACCCGGCTGCATTACCATTCAGGGCCAATCACGGAGCAAACTAACCGTCTTCTCAAACATTAAAGGAAACGTAGAGTGAAATTCAAAGGGCGGGTTTCTTTATAACGTGATAATTTTGTAAAGTAGCGGAACGGTGTACAAAAAAAAAAAAAATCACGAAAAATATACAACGCGACGAGATCCATCCACGAGTGACACGGAATTGGAATTTATCAAGGTTTCGAAAGTGGGCGGCGATAGAGGGCGGTGAAACAGGTGTGGAGAGGAAACGGGCGAATGTGGAAGGTAAACGAGAGCGCGGAATAAAGTGAATAAAGCTGTGAAAGAAGAGCGGAAAAAGGAAGAGTCTTGGGGAAAAATTGAAAAGAGGGAAACGAAGGGATTGGAGAAGAGGGGTAGACAAAAAGAGGTGTACATACATAGGGGATCGAGGAATAAAATGAAATAGAAAAGATGCGGAGCAAGTACTGAGAGAATGTTTGAGATGATGCACAGTTCTCCGACGTACGAGATAGTTTCGCAAGCATCTACTACACGCCAACGGAGGAAACGTTGTCCCATAAAATATGTCTCGCTCTACGCTAGCTTGCAACGTGTGCTGGAAACGCGCACATCCTTCGCTGTTGAAACGTGTTCAAGGTGACACGACGAAGGATAACGTCGACGATAGGGCCCAAGTATAAACCACTCGGGGGACTCGTTTCGTGCCCCGCCATCCAGCTTATCTTTATCCAAAATTATCGACTTCCCTGTTTTACACATCTTTCTTTCTCCCCCTAAAAATAAAAAAAAGTTTATCTGAATGATAAAAACGGAGCGAAAAATAAACGTTTAATTTTGATAACCATTCGATTCGATGCAAGCGTCAGGATGGTTGGAAGTATATAAATCACGCGGAGGCCCATCACAGGCCTGCGTGGATTCGCGATGTTTTACGAGCGAGGCAAATTGCCGACTTTTCGCGAAACAACGAGAAGATCGGCGACAGACATTCTCAAGCGGATGCGGGTATAAACGGGCGATAAAATTTATGTAATCCGTGTAAGCTGGAAAGGGAGGTCTATATCTACATCCCCTGAAATAACGAATAGGTTAATAATTCTAAGGGCGTCGCGAGTACGTCGCGAAAATTTGGATGCCGACCAAGAAAGTTTCACCCAAGATATCGGCCCCGTATCTCATCCCTCTCCGATGTATTGAAACTCGAGAGAGAGAGAGAGAGAGGGAGGGGGAGGAGGATTCGTTTATTAG